TGTTGGGGGCAATATGCTGACTCTGTAAACCGCTTAGAGAGGGCTGAAAGCCCTATGAAGCGGTATATAAGCCTAACTATTGCTATTGCTATTGACCCACAGGTTGGATCTGGCCCGTAGGGTGCTTAGATCTGGCCCGCAGGGCTTACCTGGAAACAGCAAAGGACTGGCCCACAGTGCCTCTACCAGCAAAAACGGAGCTTGGGACGGCCAAGCTCTGTTCCTAACTGGCTCAAGATTGACTCATCCTTCCAACCTTCTGAGATGGGCAAAATGAGGTCCCAGATTGTTGGAGGCAACATACAAATAATGCTTATATTGTAAACTGCCCAGATAGTGCTGTAAAGTAGTATATAAGACTACATGCTATTGTATTAACTCAATGTGTCTCAAGGGAATCATGACTTGAAAAATGTTAATATAATCATTCCATTTTCCTTGCAGTCTGTCAAGTCTTGGGATTCCCGAGCTGACCTCATTCCATCACTCTATGTGTTTGAGTGTGTTGAATTGGAACTTGCTCTGAGACTAGCTTCCAGAGAAGGAGAAGAACCTATAGAATCAGATTTCTCCTGTCCAATGAAATTGCACAGAGGTAAGAACACGAATCATTACTTCCCTTATATTTGTTCTCTTTCACCTTTCCATTTAATATCTGATAAACCTGCCTTTTATATAACAATTTTTAAAAAATACACATCTGGAAATCTCTAGCATTATACCAGGCACAGAGAAGTTTAAAATCCTTGTTAATTCTAATTTTGGCTGGATGACCTTATAGAACAATTGAGACAATTAAATAAAAGGAGAGTTGCAAATGTGACTTTGAAATGGTATTCTTATACAACAATGTGGCTTAGTTGAACGCAGTAGATTGTTTAAGTAGAGAAGCACAGCATTGTGTTGTGAGTCACTGAAAGAAGTATAGTATGTAAAGATATAAGGCAAATATCTATTTATACAGTTCATGTTTTGAGCAGTAATGGCAAATAATCGGAGAGGCTAATAATTTCCTATTCCAATTATGTCAAAAGTTTTTTAGATATAGTCAAAGCAAAATTGTTTTTGTAAATCCCTTGCCTTATTTTTCAAGTTGTTTTACTGTATAATCATGAGCAACTGAAGTGTTGGGAGATGATGGGACTGCTTCATATAAGAAACCTGGCAGATTTCCATTTTTAAAAAAGAAAACTCATATCATGTACATGTGGTGTGAAATCTGTCTTGTGTCAATTTGGTCATCAAATAACACAAACCATGCTTGTTTCTCAGATCCCAAATGCTCTTCTCGCTACCACTGCACACATGATGCTGGTGTACATAGTATTGGACTCCCCTGGATCAACAAACTACATAAATTCCTTGGTTCTGGTAAGTAACTTAGTCCTCCAGGACTTGTAATTCGTTTTTTCTTAAAAATACACATATACGTTCTTACCATTGCCTTCAATTTAACATATATTAAAAGGGTAAGATATTAATGTGTTCATAACTAGCCTTCAAATTTGGTGGCTTCTACTCTTTGGAGTGCTTTCTCACTGATATTTGGGAAGCAAATACTGCTATATCTTTTAGCAGTATGTCTATCTTGGATCAGACCTTTCTGTGAGAACTCATTTTTCCTAAATGTTTTTTTAATCTTCCTTTTATAATGCATAATTCATATGTACCATATATTTATAAATGCTTTTATGTTTTAACACAAATGTGGTATAAAAATATATCAAGGAATAAGGTAGTTTGTGGTGATATCTGAATCCTGCAAATTGGAATTAGTGTTGTGTATTAAATTTGTGGACTTGCTTTTCAGATGAAGAAGACAAAGACAGTTTGCAAGAGCTTGGGGCAAATCAGAAGTGCTTTGTGGAGCATATCCTGTGCACCAAGCCTCTACCCTGCAGGTAGGAGCCAGCGTGGCTTCCACCTTTTCTCCAATTGATGTTCTTCATGCAGCTTATCTTTGGAGACCTTTGCTCAATAATTGTTATAGATAGTTGTTGTAACATATGAAACAGTGAAGAGTGTGTTGGCTTTGTTAATAATTTTGTACAACACATGTTTGAGATAGAGACTGATGAGGGGGGGGTGTTGTCACATGTACTGCATTTACCTTGCTCAAGTAGAGTTGTATGTTAAAAGAAAAATAATGTTCAAGAGAATCGTTGTAGGTTGGATCTTTCATTTTATTTCCCAAATTTACACTCTTCAGATACGTTGGATTCAGGGGTGGGTTTCAAAAATTGTTCGAACCACCTCTGTGGGCGTGGCCTCCTTTGTGGGAGTGGCTTGC